TTTCCGATTTTTACGATACTTCTTTTACTTGTTTCTTACAAAAAAAAAACGAATACATTGTATCCATAACTACGATAAATTAGGAATTATTCACAAGAAAGTTCAATTTTAATCATTGTAATTCACATATTTATTCATTTCCATTTGAGAAATCATTCGTGTGTTAAGTTATATGGACATGTTTTGCACATACACCAAAGTGATTGAATATAGTTTTACATATTACAGTAATAATCGGAATACACAGGGCGCTCCACAATATCAAGCCGCTGAAGCCACAATAAGTTATTTGACATGATACAGAAGTTAATGATATTCTCACAGAAGGAGCTGCCAAATGTAAGAAACATTCTTCAAGCACTTCCCCAGTTGAAAAGACGCAATTTTACCGCTCCTATTGGAAAACTTGAACGACGCGTACACAAGATGGAAACAAAAAACAAGTCGGCGAAACAACATGATTCATGGCTTCCAATAAGCCTTACATGCAGCTTTGTTATAACTAGCCACCAAGTTGAAACTTCATTATCACACTTTGAGTGTGAGAAGAAAATTTACGAACACCCACTGTTACTGTCGAGTAGAAACTGCTTACTTCTGATAGTGTTCGCCACCCCGCCAACCTTCAAAGAAAGAGAGACACCTGATATAGATTGTTGAGTCTTTATTTATATTGAAAGCTTGCATATACAGGGGTTTATTAAACAATATATTGTTATTGTCGAAATTATTTTTCGCTCAATATCTTCGAAACAAAGCGTCCAATCAAAAATCATTAGATGAGTCCACGGAATGGTCCCTCAAGTTTTTGCCACATGTTTAATAAACACCCTGTATAGATGTAGTCCTCGACATTGATTGCTGTTTTCCAAGATGATGGAAACAATAATAATCTTGGAAAATTGTAACTCATAAATTGTTCAGGACAAGAGAATTTTTTTTTGTTTTAGTTGAAACTGAATATTGAAAATATCAAAAACATATACTACAATCATTGTTGGCTACAAGAAGGTTAACAAATTATTCCATTAAAATTTTTAAATATTTGCTATAGTTCAGGAAATGTTGGTCAAAATTCGAAAAACTGGAAAAATCTCATTTTGCGTACAAAGTATTGCAAATATCCAAAATTTCCTCAGAGTCAATTATGTTCACAGAAAATGTGACATGAGTTTTCCTCGTGAAATACATAATATTTGGAATTATTTCCTTCAAATGGTTTCTGGACTNCACGTTTGTGCTGTCCACAGTGATGTGAACTGTCAGGAATATACCTGTACGTGCTTGTTTCTTTTCTAAATATATCGTATTCTAACCCTCCATCTTTGCTCCTCATTACCAAAACGTCAAGAAATGGTAGTTGTCGAACACCGCGAAAATATCATCCACATACCTTAGCCAAATCCTAGGAAAATACTTTGGCTTTTCTTTAGTTTCCATTTCGAATCTGCTCATGAATAGGTCTGCCAGGTAGGGGTACAAGGGATTTCCCATGGCCGTTCCTTCTTGTCGTTCATAAAAGCAACCTTCTACCTGGAAACGATTTTGTTTCATACACAAATTGTTAAGAGAAACGAATTCATCGATTTCGTTGTTATTGAAATTATTTTTCTCTAGTAGTTCCCTGAGGTATTGGAAGGTCTGTGGAATTGGGACGCTAGGAAATAATGAACTAACATCAAAAGAAACCAAAATCTCACCTTCTTGCAGAACCATGTTTTTTGTATGTTGTATGAACTCTAAAGAGTTTTTTATACTAAAACCTGGTTCCGCAATAGACAAGGTTTCAAATTCCTTAGTGAGCCACTTCGCTATTTGGTAGGTAGGAGAGCTCCAATAGCTGACACGATGGGGGGCATTGATTTTCCCGGTTTATGGATTTTTGGGAGGCAATATAGTTTCGACACCGTTGGGTTAGAAACTTGTAATTTCCGTTTCAGTTGAGGGGTAAGTATGTGGTTTTGAGCTGATCAACTACATTTCAATATAGAAAAAACTGAGTATCTAATCTTTCACACCAGAATAATAAACAATCCACTTTCAATTAAACTGAATGATATCAGAAAATCACATCGTGGTTGATATCGGCAGTTTAAAAAATTTCTACTTTGCTGCAATCCATTCTATTCTACTTTATGGTATTTCACTATGGGGAAACTCTTTGGCTGCACAGCATCTATTTCTTATTTAGAAAAAATCTGTAAGTACTATAAAAAATGTATCACCTAGGAATTCCTGCAAACCATTGTTTTCCGAATTGAATATTCTTCCTCTGGCCTGCCTTTATATTATGGAAGTTGCCTGCTACATACATAAAATAAAAAACACTCTTCCCAGGCATTCCGACATGCATGTCTACCAAACCAGAAACAATCAGCTAATCTATCCAAATCATAACAATCTCCAAATAACATCAAATGGATCACTCGCATAACATTAAACGCTTTCTGCAAAAAAAAAAAATTAGAACATTGATGAAATTTTAATGTAACTTCAAAATCAAATATTTTATATTGATGTTCTTTTTTTTGTTTTGTTGTTGAGTACGTACTCTTTATTATATTTATATGCATGTAGGTAATCAGACATTATGCTGACATGTTCTATACCCTAATGAGTCCTTTGAATGAATAAACTGATTTGATTCGATTCGATTCGATTTGATTTGATCCACAATCGTCTTCGGGTGATAACGATTGTGGATCCTACTGAAGACGATTGTGGATACTAACAATCGAAATGTTGTGAAGTAACTTGGCTTGAAATTTGTCAATCTTAATTTCCTTTAAATTGTTCAATTTTAAATTTTTTGCTCGTATTTTATTTTATTGTAATTTCATTTCATTATATTAGGCAATTTCATTTGCCTATTATAATTGTTATTTTCAACTATTCATTTTAATTTTCAATTTTATTGTTTTTTTCAGGGATTTCAAAACATTTTATATAAATAATATTAGACAATGGAAATTCTCTGGAATTATATCAGAATATGTTACCTACCTGACAATACTGAAAAAATAATCTTAGAACTGTTTCCGGTTCTATTGGGGAGGTGTACCAAATACTTCATTACAGTTTTCAAAAATCTTATATTTTGGTCAAGAACATGAACAAAACACTTACAATACATTTTTGACATATCTATAGTTCATAAAATGTTAGTTAAAATCGAGTAATGTATTTGAGAAAGTGGTCGTTGATTAACTTTTTTTCAGTGATAACCTTCAAAAAAACAAAATTATGAAATTGAAAGGGGTATATTTTTAAAAGACATCTTCTACGCTTTTCAACTTATGCGCACCTCAAATTCTTAGAGTAATCCTAGTGTTCCCGTATAAAACACACTGTTGCTTTGTACATTGTTTAATATTGGTACTGGCCGAAAATACCTACGGTGAGTGAATTATTTTTATGATCTTCCGCGTATGAAGCTCCTTTAAAACGATTAAACTCTGCGCCATCTCTGAGCGTGAACTTTAACCATAGTCACTTTTGTTACAGTTTTCGATAATTAGTAGCAGATGAACTTAATGTTAGATATTCACCCATTAGATGGTGACGCATGTTTTAAATTTAGTAAACATTGCGTCACAGATTTGGTTATTTGGTGGTAGTGATATTATGTTACGATGAAAACGTATTATTCTAGAAGAAATTATTGAAATAATTTGAAAAGTACTGGAGAACCAAACAAAACGAATCTGTTCTCAACAAAAATTCAACAGTTATGAAATGTCTCAAACTATTCCTTTCAACGGAGTTTGAAGACTACGTATCTTCTTCAAGATACGAATATCGCTAAGAAAAACTATTGAATTGACTTTGAAAGACGGTCAGTAGATATTTTATGATACATATATTGTTTCAAGTACGTATACATCTAACGCAATATTCAAATTTGGAAATATTTATTTGACTGAGAAGTATTTGAATGATGAATGTCATAACTGTCAACTTGGATATGACTACTGAAGCAAATTAGTTCGTATGATTTAGTTTATTCTGCCAAAAACATCACAATGATTGAATTGATATATGTTGATAGATGGAACAAGAATAGAAATCTGACGCTCTTATGTTCAATTTATTGACCATAATGTAAAAAATGTTTCACTGAATATCAATCAATTTCCAAATGTAAATAAGATTTCATTTGTGTGTCTTGGTCAAACAGGGAGAACCTTTTCCGAAAGAATAAAAGAACACAGCAGTCGTTTCTCGAATATGAAGACCAATTCCACATTTGTAAACCATCTTTTGACAAAGGGGCGAGAGTTCAACAACTATCATGAAGTATTGCATTTGAAAGGAAATAGTTTGATACTCAATGCTTGGAAATTCATACTAGAATTCTGGAAATTTATTGAATAGCCAAAAAAAATCTTCATGTCTTCCAATGTGGAAATTGGTAATTAGTTTATGATATGTCCAGTTTGAAAAACTCAGGTAAAATGGTAGAAAAGTAAGTAGGTAGAAAGCCAAACTTTTGCCAACGTAACACAAATCGATGAAGTCATCGACGAAGGCAATTTTTCCCTGGTCCTGATTGGCGAAGGTTCTACCGGTGGTTCTACTGTTCAGTAAAAATTTCACAATGAAATCTTACTTGATCTAGTCGCCAATTTTGTTTATCCATATCATACTAGTATTTTTTATGGATCAGAGCGTAGAGTGTGGTAGTCATCTTCAATTGGGGGTTACCAACGGAATTAATCCATCAAAGCCAGAAAACTCTCATTGTCCCATCCCGATCCATCAAACAATTAGTACAGTAAGTGGTCAGAAACTACCTTCAGAACAGGAAATGGGCAAATGAACTTTTTAAGGGCTACTCCTCTCGATCCTACTGAAAAGCCAGCAGAGCGGAAGCGGTTGAAAATTGTTTGACATCGTTAATTATGTTTTCCATTGCTGCACTTGCCGGGCATTTAACAACAACTCCGGAGTGGGGCAGCGAGAGCGAACCGGATTGGATACCTCGGGCTGACTTAACAAACGCGCTCAGTCAATCCTTTATTGAGATCTAGATTGCCGAGGCGAACCGCGCGCTTTTGTTTTTGAAATTCCACCGGAGCGATCACAAACCACTCGTTATTTTTCAAAACTCATCGCTCCGAAGGAATCAAAAAGTGGATTTTGTAATCTTGTTTCGTTACATGCGAAATCAACGAGAACTATGACGAGTTGACGTAAACTCAGAAACGATGAAGAAGCTACTAGTGTTTGTGTTTTGTTTATTGGTGTGGAGGACGAATTGTTTGAATAATATAGACAGTGAGGTGGAGGCGCAGTGTATTAAAAATTGCCCTTTTCAGGTGAGCAACTGTGTGAAAACTACATAATTTAGTAAATTGGTTTTCTTTATCTTCTGAAGACGTCAATTTGGTTGGTGAAACGCAGGTCGAACAGAGTTTTGCGTTTCTGGTGAAGAAATGCTTGTTTCTGTACATAATTTAAATTAAAAAAACTAGGAAAATATTTCAGATGCACAGAATATCTGTTTCGCAGACACAATATTTAGCGTACCAGGAAAACATATCAAATCAACTGAAATTAACAGTGTTCATTGTGTTCTATGCCTAAGCACTGGAAAGAGTGTAACTGCCTAAGTAATATCAACACATACATTCCTAACTTTCAATTGAGGTTTGTAAGTTCAGAAAATAGGATGAATTTTTATTCTTCTCAAAGATTAATCATTTGTTCATCAATTACTATTTTGGTCCCCTTCAAGTAGTCCTCCTCAGATATAACACACTCTTAGCCATTCGGTTTTTATCTCCCCAATCGTCGCAAAATGCCATCCTTTCATGAGACCCCTCAATCTTGGGAACAGGAAAGAGTCGCAGGCGGTCAAATCTGGTAAATACGGCGGCTAAGGCATGATTACAGTGTTGTTTTTAGCCAAAAAATTTCGAAAAAGCAATAACGAATGAGACTATGCATTATTGTGATGTGAAAGCCACAATAACGAATGTTTTTTTCGTATTTCTTTTCGCATAAGAGGCGCATACATTCAACATAATGATCTTTATTGATTGTACGACCATGTGACAAGAACTTCTGATGCATGACGCCACGGTAATCAAAGAAAACAGTGAGCAAAACGTTGACATTGCGTGCTTTTCTCAGTATTGGGACGACTAGATTTTAGTTTCGATGTCATAACCTTATTCTCATGATTCGTTACCAATTGTGACCCTATGGCTAATCGAATGTACATCGCTCACGAAATTTCAATAATCACCTTATATTTTTAACAGACCCCGTATTTGGAAACCCATATTTTGGCTCCATATTCTAGATTTGGCTTTATCAAACTGGAATATGGAAGTTGGTCCGTTCAAATGCTACTTTGATTCAGCTGGAAATAAAACGTTAGCAATGGAATTATTCCTATTGTTTTGGTCCATTACATAGGTATTTGCAAAATTGTGTCAAAATCATCTTCTGTCATTTCATAGACCAAACATACTTCGCGAGGAGTATGTTTGAATCAATGCCATGCTAGTAAACAGAACTGCAACTACGACTCTTCAAGTCAAGGCCGTTAGGTTCAGGGTTAACAGAGGCTTTCCTCAAGGTGGGGTACTATCCCCCTTCTGTGGTCGCTCCTGATGGATAGTCTGCTTGATGCCCTCGACAGTAGAAAAGTAGATCTATAAGCTTATGCAGATGACCTGCTTATCTTGCCAAGGTCCACGTCAAGAAGGGTGTCTTGTAATATCCTCCAAAGCACGATGGACGTTGTTCACAAGTGGTGCCTGAGGGAGCAGATGTCTGTCAACCCCAGCAAAACCGCGATAATCCCTTTCACCAGGAGGAGAAAATTTTACGATCTAACACCACTTTCCCTCAATGGTGAGGTCATTCCACAAATGGAACGGAGGTGAAAAATCTTGACATTCTTCTTGAAAAAAAAACCCACCTGGAATGCTAACACAAAGCCAGACTATCCCTATGGACATGTGGAAGGATTTGTGGTGAAACTTGGGGTTCAGATCCCAAACAAATCCATTGGATTTATGTGATGATTGTCAGACCAATGATCACTTATGGTGCAATTGCCTGGTGGCCGAAGGCTCTACAGAAAACGGTCCAGGCAAAGCTCTCTGGCTTACAGAGATAGGCTTATATGGCCATCAGTGGAGTCATCAGTACCATAACGTCAGCGGCCATGGAGATCCTTCTAGATCTACCTCCTCCTTCACATTATTCTGGAGAGAGAGGCTAGATGGACTGCATATAGACTTGTGCACATTTCATTAATCAATTTAATGCAGAGTGCAACAGACTGCTGGTTGACACTGGAAGTCACGACATTCTGGAAATGACCTCTGACTTTATGTCTCCAACTGTCAACTACGAACTGCTTTATAAAGTACTGTTCCCGAGTAGAGAGGACTGGATCCTCCGGGATAAGGAAATATTAAGAGCAGATAGTTGTTGGTTCACAGATGAAACAAAAACACCTTCCGGTTCTGGTGCAGGTGTTTTCAGACGCAGACCTAGGACAGAGATATCAGCCTGCCAAGGAACCTATGCCACTGTATTTCAAGCGGAAATTTACGCTATTGAATTGTGTGCGGAGAGATTGGAAGAGTCCAACCTCATACATAAGTCAATAAAAATATTCTAGAACAGTCAAGCGGCGTTGGAAGCTCTTGGCTCCTACCCAGCAACGTCTAAATTGGTAGCAAATTGCCAAAAACGACTCTCCTCGATAGGAAGACTTGACAGATTATCTCTGGTCTGGATTCCTGGCCATACTGGCCTGGAAGGCAATGAGGCTGCTGACTTCTTTACGATGGAGGGTGCTGCAAGCAGCTTCATCGGACCAGAACCTGTCATTGGCATCGCTTTAGGCTTTGCCAAACAAACATTGAACATCTATATGGCAAGAAGAGTTATGGACTCCTGGCAGAATCTTCCAGAATTTCACTTCACTTCAAGGCGTTTATTCACCCTTTGAAGCTTGATACCAAACAGTTGTTGGACCACAGTAGAGATGAACTACGATGTCTAACAGGCCTTTTGGCAGGTCACTGTCATTTGAATCATCATATGCAGAGACTTGGACTGTCGGAAGACAATGTGTGTCGCCTCTGTTTGGAAAATGAAACAGCAGAGCATATACTTTGTGCCTGCCCCACTGGGGACCGAATCAGGTTCTTAGAGTTCGGCAGAGCCGTAATCTTACCATCTGACCTGAAAGACCACTCACCATAAAAACTAATTGGATTCGTTAAGAAGCTGGGTTTATTTGGTCGAGTGTGAATAGGTGTGAGCCACAATAAACCCTTGCGGGTTGCGGTAGAGGGTCGAATAGACCCACTCACTTTGGACCTTACCTAAACCTAACCTTAATAAAAGACCCTATAAAATGCTAGATCATCCTTCATTCACAAAATATGTTAGAACTGACCGATACTTGATGAAAATCCATTATAACGTATTCAAAAAACACAGTTTGAAAATGTAATGTTTCATTTACCATTTTGTTAATAACATGTAATTTTGCCATTGTTGCCCATCCTGTATTCATTGGAAGTATTAACTCGTGATACATTTTTCATATCAGCTTAACAAGGTTACTATGAAAAGAAGAAGAAAATGGAATTTTCATTAAAAACCCGTTGGTGATAACTTTACTCAATGGTAGGTCACCTTGTATATTCAATTATATGACTCTTTCTATTGCTTTTGGCAATTACTATAAGTTAGAAAAGTTGGAAACATTCAAATATCACAAAAGTTGCGAATTCTGAAATGGAAATGGATAGCTTATCTAAAACAATCATTAAGTCGCCAACTTTACTGTTAATTATACACATTCCAGTAACTTTCAACAGCAGACATTTTGATATTCGTGGACTTTCCTCCCAACCATTTTCGTGAAATTGGATATTACAGACGTTCTTGAAGGGTAATGAAATCATCTAATCAAATTCGAAAATATGCTTTTATCAAAGATCACTGACCTGACTATTTTATTAATAAAAACATCTCACTTAAAAATATTGCTTCAGATTAGATAGGCTATGTGTCATTACCAATGACACTCTTTTTGTTTCTTACATAATAACATCCATCTTTGTACTGATGTCTAAATAACATAGAATCATTTCATTGGATTGAGTTTTGTGTGTGTCGGGATATCAAATTTCAATTGAATTGATACTTTTCGAAAATATAGTGTATTTCATTCTGTTCAGTAAATCAACTCACTTATTTGTGGTCGGTGAATTGAATTTCGTGGTACCTGGTACTGTAAGGTGTTGCCCAGCAACACTTTTTTGTTCTTGAAAGCAATTACGTTTGAATTTCGACTTTTGACCAGTTCTCACTTGAAAATGATTGGAAACTTCACCATAATCTACTATTTTTACCAAACAAACAAAACTGAGATTATGATAATAACCGTGTCCAATTATTATAAAAGTAACCGTCAAAATTCAAAGTCATAGCAAATGAAAAAATACGTAGGTACGTTGGCAAATCAACAACCAAGTTACGCTTTTTAAGCTATTTGGCCTAACTGAAACTAGTATATATATATATATGGAGCTGATAAACGTAAGAAACGTTTT